AGGAATGAGCTCCAGCCTCCCTGAACTGTTGCCAGGGCCCAAGCACCTGTAGTAGAAGACACCCAACTTGTATACACATGAAGGTGTCCAAGAAGGATGCGGCAGCAGTCTCTACAAGCCCAGAAAGGGAGGCTGGAGTGACACACGATGAGAACACAGGGCTTAGCAGAAATTGTAGCTGTGGGGTAGAGCACAAGAAATTAAGCCTGTTTAGTTTGCAAAGAAAAGGTTTAGGAGGAATAGAGCAAACACTCTCCAGTATGTAAAATGAGGTCAGAAAGAGAACAGTGAGTAATATTTCTCTGTCTCCCTAGGGATGGGGCAAGAAATACTCAGCTTAATTTAAGACAAAGAAGATTTACACTGGAAAAGAGGAAATACTTTTAAACCTATGGGTTATGAAGCAGTGGAGTAGGTCACCTGGGGCCAGTATGGAGCTGTTTTCACGTAAAGACAGCTTCAGGTTTCAAGAGAAGCTTAGACACAAACTTTGGTCAAGAGCAGTCTAGATGGACTTAGGTCTCCTTTAACCCAAGGTGGGGAGAGGAGTGGGCATGATAACACCACACAAGATGACTCCAACGTTTCTACAAATCTCTGCCCAGCATTTCTTCTGCTGCGAGAAAGCATGCAGCTCTGAGCCAACCAGCTTAAAAGGTAAGAACGGCTCAAATAAGAGTTAAACCAAGTTATCTCCAGCACCAGGGCCAGCACAGGGAGCCAGAGCTCATCTCACTTTTGGAGTTGGAAGACCAGAGAGCGACACAGGGAGCTGTCAGCCTGTAACAAGGATAAACTTCAGAAGCTCCCTGCAGTCTGGCTGAGCTACTCCATCCCCGAGGCTACACCCCAGGAGTCCTCCCAGCTTGTGGTGCAGTGGGCAGCCCAGGCCTGGCTGCCAGCCTGGAAGCTACCAGAATTCTCAAGAGTGGCTTATACAAGGGACCAAAAACAGCCTTAGAAAGTAAGCTCAGAGCTTTAACATTCATTCTGCAGGGAAGTAAAAGCAGAGCATATGTCCTCTCTTGCTTCTGTATGAAGCATGCTGGAGCATGCTATGACCAGAAGAGCTTTTAAAATTGTTTTCTCCCTATTAGCAGCTTGGATCACATTTAACCCACAGACTTTGAAGAAACGGGAAATGCATGAAATGCTGACATCACCTGGAGAACAATGAGCAAAGGAAAGAATGGATGAAGTGGTGGCATTAACCATGTGAGGAAAACATTATTCAGTTCTAGTTTTGTGTCATTATAGCTGGACATGTGCAATACTGTACAGACACTCCTATTTCACAGCAAGTTCCACCAATTAAACCTGTTTCCAATCAACAAGCAGCTCTTAAGAAATCTGTACAATGGGAGGAAAGTTTACAGTGCCTACTACATCTAATTAAAAGTCAAATTAGTGTAATTTCCCCTGCAGAAATCAATCCCTAATCAGACTATTTTGAGACTCTGCTGAAACCTATCCAACTGTTTTGGAAAGATGCTGAATCTCTTTCCACACATTCCTCCAGCTGCAATGCGAGGGCCCAAAAGCTCACATCCAAACGATTCATTCTATCAAAGCAGCACAGACCTCAAATGACATCCCTGAGGGTTCAAAGGAAAAGAAAAAATGTGTTAGAAAACTTCCTAACTTCCTTCCTTTAGCTCCTCAAAGGCATCACAACAGGCCAGAAAACCCAATTGATAAAACACTCTGCACATCACCTTCCACCACAATGTGGCTGCAGTATCGAAGGCCTTTGAAAGCTTCTTTGAAAAGTGAATGGGAGAAGAAAGCGGATTTTTCTTTGGGATTAGCAAGAAAGAGCAGCACTGAGGCAAAGCCAGAGAAGTGAAGCAGTGCATTAGCAAAGCATGTCAAAGGAGTGAGAACAAGATTTCTAAGCATAAAGGAGCCAAGAGAATGGCTTGGGGAAGTCTCTGCTCACCCACTTAATGGGAGCACAGAGAGATGAAAAGGCAGCCGAGAAGAAAAATGGCTCCTGCATGTCATTCCCCACCAAGAAGGATTTGCTTTAATGCAATCACACTGATAGAGATAAGAAAACCAGGCAGAGTCTGGGCAGAATTATTTGCAAACAGATCCTGTTCAGGAAGACCTGATGGGACCAGCATGAGCTTGGAAACCATACTGGAAGCCTGTAGTTCACCACCAGCCCTGCTCCTTTGGCAGAGCCCACGAAGAAAATTGCAGCAACTTCACTCTGCCCCCTCCATGAAATCCTGCAACCCTCAGCAGTTAAACGCAATGCATTGGGTAGCGGGGATATTAAACAACATCAGACCTTTAATAGAAGCCAAAGTAAAGACTCAGAAGCCTCGCAAAAATGAAGCCAAGTACCTGTTTTGAAGAGGATATGGGGCAACAGGGTAGACTAGAGCTTTTTTGATGAGTTGTTTGAACAACTAATAAAGCCATCAGTTACTGTGCACCTAGAGGAATAAAGACCATGGAGGACCGGAGGCCAGCTGGGTTTGCTGAAGACAAATCATAACATATCAGGTTGATTTCCCACTGTGTTGAGGGAACAGCTTAATGGAATGCAGGGGATTTTCTGTAGCTGTGAGTAAAGAACATTTAATAGGGTCCCAATTCTCAGGGCATCTAGAGAAATGTGGATTAAACAGACTCACAACTGGGTCAAATCAGCACATTTAGACAGTAATTATTCAGGCTTTCATATGCTCTTGAGGAGATGGTCCCAGGGGTACCTGAACGGGCAATTTTCAGAAGGGAGTTGAGGAGGGGCTGGTTATGCTAAACAGATTCTTAAATGATACAAAATTGAGATTTTGAGAAAAAAAAAAAAGAGCTAGGAAGAAAATAATTTTAGCTGAAGTGTTTTGTAGCTGTGATGATCTTAGAACTGAGAATGTCATTTTAATCAATTGGCATGATCAGCCTGAGCTTCTGCCAGGCCAAGTAGAAAGCGGGGCATGCAGGAAGCAGAGCAGTCACGTGGCCAAGAGGCTGGGGAAGGAGATGCTGGCTGAGGAGGGAAGGAGCCCTTGGGACAGAACAGATGACAACAGAAACATGAATGTGTCTTATTTCCAGGGTACAGTAACTGGAGAAGCCCATGTCACAGGAAGGCTACGGCCAAATTTCTTTGCACATATTCCAGATATAGTATCAAGCAGGCCAGAGAGACAAAAACAGGCACAAAAGAGCACAGAATAATGGCATGAAACTGACTGCAAGTGTTTTTCCCATATCCTACCCAATGGCAGCGCTGCAATGATAAAAAAACCCCAACAAACCAAACCAACAAAACAAACCCATTACAAAGCATTCCGTAGAAGGAAGCAAAACTAATTCAGGCATGCTTGCTCTGGAGCAGAGTAGACAGAGGGAGGCATAACATTCCCAAACCCATGCAGACTCGTGATGGAGTGGGCAGGCATCAATTACTCATCAACCAGCAAGGACAGAGCTGGGAGAGAGAATCAGCTCTCAAACTGGTGGAGAAAGCTGCCAGAGTTGGAGATCTCTCCCTCTGCTGAAGCCGTAATGATTCAAAAGCTAGGAAAACCAGGCTCCCCTCAGATGCCAGCCACTACAAAAACATTGCCTCCCTGGTGACACAGCCTTCGGACAAGAAAACGTTGCATCAGGGTTCTCTGGAGCAGGGTGAGCAAGCTGGCTTCCTGAAGAATGTAACTACCAAACCAAATTATTTGGACTCAGTTCTGTCTTTGGTATATTATTTTTGTGGGGCTTCCTACCATTAGTCTTCTCCTCTGGCAGAAGGAGACATTTCTAGAGAATGCCTTTGCTTTCTTTACTTGGGAACCCTATTTTGTGAGTGATGGAGGAAAGCAATGAGCAGGCACATGTTTCACCAGCATCACATATTCTGCTCAGTCCCATACTTTGTGGTCCCCTTAACGACAGCAAAAAGGCTTAGTTGCTCTGCGTGATAAATCCAAGGTGGGAGCAGTCAGCTTCTCCACCAGGCACATTTACCACCACAAAGCACAGTGGATCCCCATGGCAGAGGGGACAGAGACCGACTGACCAGTTGCTGGCCTGAGCAGTCTGGTGGTTCCTCCCCAGCCATGTACTGCAGGGCAGGGAGCTCCAGGGAGCGTTCACATCAGTCGAGTCATGCAGTGTCTGTTCAGATACTATTCCTGCCCCATCTTTGGAGGGAGCCCAATGGAGTAACAGGGCTGCTCAGCTATACCCCAAATGCTGTAAGAAAAAGCTTTGGGAAAGGGTTGTTGATTCTGCAGAATCAAGGCAGCTTACCAGCTCTTTGAAGAAGGCAGCCTCTTTATGCTGCTCTGAGTAGCGCTCGTACTGGTCCAGTCCATCCTGCAGTTTCAGGGTCAGCGTGTCGTAGTTGGAACGTACCACTTCCAAAACCTGCCAGAGACAGCCAAATACAGCAGAGGAGTCAGCATCCACAGATGCTTCAGCATAGGAGGAGCAAGGCTGAGGTAGATCACAGCTCTGGCACCTGTTTTTGCAACATACATGGCTTTAACAGCCAATATTTGGCTCATGACTAACACCACAGAGGTGGGCACTAAAGTCTTCCTAATGCCAGTAAGGAACAGCCCTCAATTTACAGAATTTCTTCATTCATGGGAAGAGTGGATGAGTCTGTGACAGCAGCAGTTTTCCAAATACTATTATGTCACCAGGAGAAGTAGACACGATCTCATTAAATTAAGCAGCTAATTACCACATGTACACCCAAATGTAACACAGTAGGCACTATGCAAACACAGGTTTGCCCAACCTCGTGGTCCTCCCAATGCTAGTTTTGCTAGCACACCTCCCTCCTGGCTTGCTAATCATCATTCACAATCTGCTAACCCGCCAGCTTCTACAGCTGCTCAGGTCAGCTTCTATACAGAGCACTGTACTTCTCTCCTGATGGGAACAAAGTTCTGACACCACTAAGAGAAGACCAACTTTGGTACAGACTCTGGGTTTGGAAACAGAGGAGACAGAAATCCAGGTCTTCCTGCCCAGGAGACACTTTATTATCTGCCTTCCCTGCAAACAAAGCACTCCAGCTTATATTACTGCCTTAGTCTGCTCCCAGCACTGGGCTATACTTGTAAATTCATAGTTACACATCTCTGTCCTATTGAACTATTCATTTTCCTAACTAGGGAACACCAAGAGGGACTCTCACAATGCTTTTTAGCTTCAAAGCATTGCATGGACAAACATATTCCTCAAAGCATTTGTGAGATGGTAAGTAATGATAATCTTCCTACCAGGAATCATATAGCTAAGCACTCCTTGGCAAAACACACACTTGGAACAATTCTCTTAAAACACATGAACTTCTTTCTTAGGCTGTTACCACTTGATCCGAGCGCTAAACAGAAGCACAGAAAGAAAATCAATATCTGAGGTTTGCATTACAGTAGCCTCTGCTCCTGAAAAGCCTCAACCAGGAGGACTACATAGTATAAGGTGCAAAAGGAAGAAGAGTCTACCCCAAGGCATTCACAATTCAGGAGAGATCCTACGAAAAGCATTGCAGAGGGTGTAGGACAACCCTCAGTTGCCCTTTGAGGCAACTGGTAGCTCCTGCCCTTTACAGGACTGAATCGTGTCCTTCTATTCTTTACTTGAGGAATCCTAGACTTGCTTAGGGCTCCTTTCAAAAACTTCTCTGTCTTGTTTCCCCCCAAACTTCGCATGTGGCAGCAGTACACAGAGACACTCATGCAAACACTTAGAAGCAGGCTAAGGCCTGAGGTGGCAGAAGCCACAGGGCATCATCCAAATGAGGACTGAGGGTAAAAAAGGGTCCTAGAAGCGGTTCCCAGGTGAGATGGTAACACAGCAGAGTCTCTTTGCAGCTCAGCTGTCCTACAGCATTGCAGAGCCAAGCTTGGGGTAGCAATCAGTATTTTGCAAGGTTATTTAAGAACAGCCTGTCAGCGTTCTGCTGCCACAAGAGCATGCAGCCTCCTCTCCAGGACTCATTTTCTAATGCTGCTTGTCAGCTCCACTGGCAGAGAGAAAGAATCCGCTGCAATGACAGCCATCTCCAAATTCAGCCTGGCCCTCTTGTTCCTGTGCACAGAAGCTGTGAGAAGTATCACAGAGACAAGAGCAGCAACGAGAGAAAGCCGTCTGGGTACAGGAATAATTTAGTCTGGGATGCAACTATCCACTAGGGATGGAGAGTAATAGTATAATGCACTGTCTTCTGAGCAATAAAGGATCTAGCAACTTGCATGAATCAGAGGGCTATCCTCCTGTCAGTCTGAGGAAGCCAAGCTGACCAAGATAAATAAGCTGCAGGAGGGAAACTCTATTTGAAAAGTGAGGAGTAGAACATGCTTCGTCAGTAGTAACTCAAAGTGGAGGCATTTTACCCAGGGCTACCCTGCTCCCCAGGAGCCTTCCCTTGGGCTCCTCTTCACTCCCTTGTGCCCCCATAAGCACTACCACATGTAGTGCCATACGGGTGTGCACAGACAATGGATGTATACGCTTCTCCATGAAGAAGCAGGATTCCTCCTTACTAGCTCTGAGTAGAGATCTCTTCAGATACTCAACTGGGGCATCCTCAAACCACCGCAAGGAAGAGTAAACTCTGAGGGCAGCAGCAAGCTCTGTAAGCAGTATCCTTTAAATCAGCCTCCTGTGTCAACCTTTGAAAGGCAGCTAAGAACTCAGTTTGATACTCTAGGAGGAGGACAGGGAAGGAACAAGAGGCACCCAAATCTCTACTGTGTTACCCACTACTTATTGTAATCTCTGCAGTGAACTTGAGATCAGCTTATCCCTTTAGCTATGTGTTTTCATTGGCTTCCACTCGTTATCTCCTTTAATTATGAAATAGAACTTAAAAAGGGTAAGTTAAAAATAAACAGCTTCTCCTCATTGCCTGATAATTTCCTTTTCTTGCTGCGGCTGAGAAAAAAATGTTATGTGGGATCTGAGATAAACCCACTCACAGATCATTTCACTTCATACCCTATAATGGATAGGAACTGTTACTGAGATTAGGACCTGCCATCCTTGAAACAATTTCATCTGCTCTTTAAGATGCAGCTGCTAGACAGAGGAGAGGTTAAAGAGCAGCAGAAGGTATTAAGAGCATCTAACATGAAGGTTTGAAAGGCATCAGCTTTCCACACAGATGACAAAAAAACTCACATCCTCTGTGTAACAGTAGATTGCATGCTAGCATCCTTCGCCCTTCTTACACACTGCTTTGACTTTTGCTCAGGAAAACTACTGCAGGAAGAACGCCCTTTTGTGTTAAACACACGAGATCTTTATCTGCACCTTTCTGCCAGATACAAAAGAACTAGAGGAATTTAATTTTGAGATTAAAGCATTTCTCCTTCAAGGTCTTGTCTGACCTGGTCTTTCTAGAAGTCTTTATGGGAGTCTAGAAAACATCAGTTCCAAGATGGTGAAGTATGAATAACTTAAAAAGGAAGGGACTTTCAGCTGGACTCTCCCACATGGATTTTAAATAGTCATTCAGTTTTTTAAAATCTCATGACCAGCTGGAAGAACACCACTTCTAGTGTCAGGCAAGGATAGAAGAAAATGGACTGTAGATGATTTCCAGGGAGCTTCTCAACAAGCTACAGGGAAGATAAGATGTGACACTCCTCAGACTGCAAGGATAAACATGCAGGGCAAACTATTTTTTTTAAAACATACCTTTACTGGATCTTTACAGTGGAAAAAAACTAAATGAAAAGGAGTCACAACCTAGACCTCTTTTTGTAGGTTACCTTAGGGAGATCACAGTCTTAAAAAAGCAATATGGCAGAAGCGAGCAACTCAGACACGGTCAATAGAAGAAAAGTGAAGGCTGCCGAATTCCTTTCCTGCAGTTACCTGTATCATCAGCCCTACAGGCTACATTAACTCATTTACTCCACTGCAACAAACCAGATGTCAGTGGAGCTGCACCACTGTAATTTAAAGATAATTTGCCATCAAATTAACCCCCTGCTCCACCGCTTGCTTGCTGACTGGTTTCCAGAAGTTTCACAGAAATGTTGGTGATTCAGGCCCCTGTGTACATGTCCCCAAACCAACCTTTCAGGAGCTGCTCTGAACGGCAGGTGCTTTCTGTGGCACTCAGATTTCAGCTTCCTCCTGCAGCTACAACTGCCCATGCCCCGTAACTCTCCTTCCCCATAACACTGACAACCTGTGAGTAGAGGCACCTCCTCCAGGTAACATAGCAGGGGGGCTGGCTTACAACAGAGGCATTGATGTGGGGCTCAGCTCTCTGCAACATCCTACCCATGCCATGCCGCTGCACCCAGAGGACAAGATTATTTCACAGTTTTTGGCTCCTTACTGAGCTGCAACCATCAGCTTACTGCTCCCTTGCAAACCGGATGGACAGCCTCCGAAGGGTCAGTGGACTCTCATGGACACAAGCTCTGGAACTGATTCCCCCAGAACCAATTGCCCTTGCCCCGAAATTTTCTGCACTCAAAACAGCCTGTTCTTTGCTTTACCACTCTCGACACACAGGGTCTTTCCTTACTGCACTAGAGTTGTTCCCTCTGATCCTCAACAAGAGCTGACCCGCTGCACTCCCCCAGGAGAGACCAGACCTTCTGGAAAAGCCTGTCCTAGGGAAACAAGGGGATTACATGCAGCAGTCTCTGATCCCCACCCTGCCCAGGAGAACACAAAGCCAGAGAGGGAGCTGCACCAGCAATGAAATATAACAGGCAACATGCAGAACTAGGGCTCATGTACCTGGTACACTTCAGTGCTTAGTAACTTTTTAACCTGCAAAATCTTTCATCATCTGCAACTGCAGACTCTGCCTTACTACAACATACAATTAGAGAACGCCACCAATTCTCACCACCCAGCAAAGGACCTGGTGGTGGGTAGGTTCTGGGAAGCATGCACAGATAATGACAGAAAAATAAAGGAAAAACAGAAGCAAAAAGCAAGCAAGGTCTCTACATTGTCTTTTTAATCAGTGCAGGAAAGGACAAGGGTGCAATCAGTCAGCATCACCAGTACCTCGCTAAAGCCTCTGCATGCCCGTAAGACAGTCATTAGCTACCACGACACAGAAGCAGTTGGAAAAGAACTGACTGAATGATCTCACATCAACCAAAGGCAAAAAAACCCCAACAACCCCCATGTTAGAATGCGTTTGCCCCCCACCATAACTCCATGCAGCTCACAACGCTGGGACGGGAGAGGTTCTCCAGATCAGGCCTAGCAAGCCCTCACAGGACAGGAAAGCCGGGCACTTCTGTCCTAGCTGTCCCGTGCTGGAGGATGGAGCAGCCAGTCTATGGAGCATGTCATGCCAACCCCTCACCAGCACTACTGCACGGACATGGCACGGGGGCCAAGGGCAGCCAGGGACAGACAAACCTATCTTCTGT